CTATTTAGGCTATTGACGCTTCAAACTTGTTTCTTAATAGAAAATAATATGTATCACCGTTTTACTAAGCATTGCATGATAAAGACACTTTCTCTCATAATTCAGGCAATGCCTGACAGATACTGGGTTTAGCATTCAAAGGAAATAGCATTTTCCAAGCGTCTATTTTCCAATCAATAGTTATGACCTAGAAATAATCACATTGTATCTAACATGCCAGAATTGATGAATAGTGAGCGTGAAATCTTACTAATAAATACGAATGTTTAGATGGATGAATGGATATTTGGACCTCGCTGAAATTTGGCATAGATGGAGTACTAGCTGGAGTTTTATTTTTTTTAATTTCGCGTGGACGGAGTCGCGGGAGATAGCTGTTTATTTATTTTTAAAAAAATGAGAAAATGAATTTTTATGGTTATAATAATGTTTTGCGAGTCGAATCTTGAAGTATAAAAAACTAAATATAGAAAGTTTAAAAATGAACCTAAATCTATGACCTGTACGGCATTCTCTGTGGTTGGCGTTCCATAAACAAGTAGGCATCATATTTCTCGACCGCAAATTATTATCCATTTATATAGTCAAAGGCTCTCCCTCTGACTGACCATTGACCACCAAACTATTAGTATGTGGTTCGGTCAAATTTCGCCAAAGACAATAACACTTTAGACTTTTTAGTTACACTTGGAAATTATAAAGTGTACAGTTGGTTCCGTTTGCAGTAACTCAGTTTTAGAAAAAAAATCATAAAAAAATACAAGGGTGTATAAAAAAAAATTAGGATACAAACGATGTTTTCATAAAAAAACCACTGACATTTTCTTGTACTGTACTCTTATTATTGTTTAACATTTCAAGGTATAAGAGACGAACCAACGATTATTGCTTTATGGAATACCGCCATTGAACGCGACTGTACTTTTACAGTGTTTGTGTCCTCTATTATAATAATGCATAAGACATCCTGTGGGAACTTTGCCTTGTTAAACAAGTCTAACAAGCGGCGCTTTCCGATAGATTTTCTACAAAAAATAAAAGTTGAATATCATGATTTAGAATCTGTAGCAATACACATTCAAGATTGTTAACTTAACTCGTAAAGTTGATAAAGAGCTTATTATTTAATCCTTTTCTATAATACAATAAATAGTACTTCAACGTTAAGTTTTATTCTTATAATATTAACAGATTAAAAACTAAATAAAAAAGCTAACACTATCGTATACTTTCGCACTCTTCGAGGGCCCTTATTCATAGTGAGTCGGACAATTAGTTGATTTAGCATAATTTACTAAATTTAACCATCTCAACTAAGCTTGTGTTTCCTTTTGAATTTGAACCTATGACCTTGTGATTGGTAATCCGTGTCATCAACCATTTGGGTATTGCAGCTTTATATTTCAATCATCAATATTTGCGTCTTAACTTTACCGTTAATAGATTGATAAAATTCAATATGGATAATTATTGGTAATTTGTTTCTGGCCTAGTTTTCAGTCAATTGGTTTGTTTATAATCCATTGCGACATTAACACATGAATTGAAAAGCAGACCGCATACCATACGGTCATTGGATTATGTGCTAATTTGTTTATTTGGTGTCAAAATATCTTGTTACATCAATAACTTTATTCAATACTAGCTGTCGCCCGCGACTCTGTTCGCGTGAAATTAAAAAAACTTAATTAATCCCGGCAATTATTCGAATATTTCTCGCCGTAAAAACCCATCTTTGAACTTTAACGAACATTTTAAAAAAAGAATTGGCCAAATTGGTCCAGTCGTTGTTGAGTTATGCGCTTACCAACACATTTTGCGATTCATTTTTATATTATAGATCAACGTACCTAATTATTTCATTAATTGTAATATAAGACTCCTTTGCAATATGCAGTAGTGTAAATAGCTTCATTACTGCTAAGATTCTATTTTAATTTGTAAAGTTACAGCGTAACGATCTGATTGTCTACTAGTACTCGTTCAATGTATAGTTGGAAGGTCCTTCATAAATTACGTGATTAATAACATTAAAATATGAATTCTACTATAGATAGAACTACTATATACGGAGCGTCGTGGCGCAGTTGTTAGTCGCTTGACCGGATAGGACAAAAATCTGTATGTCCAGCCCGATACCTGTATTAATGTTGGCTTCATTTTACGAAGTTCTAATGTACGTTAATCAGAAGGTTCTAACCGTCAAAAAAAATATTGTGATGCAACCTGAACAGAATGCTGTCACCGTAACTTTCCTTGAGCTTACAACGAATATCGATATAAAATAGACATTTTTTATATTATAACAAAAGAGAAATGATAACTTTGCAAGCAATGCTACAACTTCCTTAAGGGCCGGTAACGCATCTGCGGTTCCTCTGGCGTTGAGGATGTCCATGGGCGTCGGATCAAATAATTTTAGGCCATTTGTTGCTCATTTGTCCCCTTCTCCTATAAAAAAATGCTTTGCAATATTACAGTATTGTTATTATATAGCGTATTATTGAAAACTAGTCATAATAATGTACGTAAAAGTTTTATGTAACATATTTCCATTGTATTCAATGTAACAAACACCTGAACATAAGGAAGTCAACGAACTGAACATTAAACCTATCTCCTTTGTTTTAAAACGATAGACGTAATTTAGTGCCAACTAATAGCTTGCAATTAGCATTAGTACTGATAGGTTAGGGCTGTGCAAAAGCATAACAAAGATAATAATGATTAATATTGTGAGGCAACCCTAATTGTATATTTAATGATACATTCGAACAGTGCGTTTGTTACAATAATTGAAATTAATTGTAGTGCAAATTACACGTCTTTATTAATTGCAACTTGTATTTATCATAAGTAATTTTTACGTAACATAATGTAATTATAGCGTGTTAATAAAAACTAATAAAACATATTATTAGCATTTAGATGAATGCATTCTTGCGTCATTTAATGTCATTGTATTGTATAATTTTATTACTATATCAATGTTACAATAAAGCAACATTAGCCGTAATTTAATGAAGATAACCTTATATAAACTAACAAAGAATTTAATGAATAGTCTTAAATCTATGATATAAAATAAAATATTAAAAAACGAATAATTTACTAAAATATATTATTAAAAGGAATCCCTTTAGGCAAGGTCCCGAAGATATTGGCAGTTTTCCCCCTTTGGACAGCTAAACTAATTCTTTGTCCGAGGTAGCTGCCAGCTCTTCGGTCCCCTGTGATGTCGATTAATTTTTTGGATATGTCCTTCAAAAGTCTTAAAGCGCTAGGACCCCACCACGGACCAAGGGTCTACTATTACTTTTATACCACATATTAAGATGAAAGAAATACAAAAGTGATTGATATTTGTTATTCCTAATTTCCATATGAAGAAAAAACAAACAAACGACTTATTTTACATTAATGTTCAAGTAGAGATGGACTATAAAGGTTCGCGTCCATTGGCCCGCGTCGTACGCAAAGCACGCACGGCCCGCGACGGATTTTCGTTAACTTGTATGTTTTTACATAACAAAGTAAATCCGTTTAATTGGTGCGTACAGCGCGTCCTAATGGACGCATACCTTAAAAATAGTGCAACTGTATCTTTTTTCAAGACAAAAGAAAGAAATAATCGAACGAAGAGAAATAAATATCCTGAACTAACTAAACCATAAAAAGACAAGCTGAACATATCAATGCTCTAACCCAGTCTTTCCCAAAGTGGGCAATAACGCCTCCTTGTGTGCGCTGTAGGTTTCAAGTTGCGGGTTATAGTAAAAGTTTCGTTTAGAATTTTTCATTAATATACATATATAGGTCACAATAATTAATTTAATTTGAAGTTATAGTGGTTTTTAAATATGTGAAAATATGGGGGCGCTAAAAAAATATTTATTCTCAAATTGGACAGTAGACAAAATAAGTTTGGGAACCACTGCTCTAACCTAAATCACACGCTTCAGTGGTTACGTAACCACCACTCTGTTAAGGAATCCTAACTAATTATGTTGTATTGCAAATTAATAGATTCCGTATTAGACGTATATTATCATTGCACGTAGTACGCAGTGGAAATGCGAGCTAGATTGCTATTGACCCGGGACTTACAATTATCAATAAATACTGTTGTAGAAAACGTTCAATTGATATTCAAGCGCTAAAGAACAAGCGAAAGGCTGGATTTATATTATTGGTACATTGAATTAGATTTTATATTAAATCTAGTTTATGTATAGTATGGTAAAAGTCGTCCACTGAAAAATATTCTTAGACTAGCTATCGCCCGCGACTTCACTTCACTAAAAAATAGTATCCTACAATATATTCCGCATGCATCGGCTCAGCTATCTTCACGTCAAAATCACGTAATAATCAATCCTGCCGTTCTAGAGATTACCCGGGTCAAATAGACAGACAAAAATTTATAAATTAGTTTTTCCAGAATCAGCAACACAAACAAATATATTATGAATGATTTCTTTTTTTTTGGGTATTACATACAGACACTTCAAATGTAATTTGTATAGATTTAGTTTGATGAAATATTGTTTAACTCAGCAGATGTTGTTAACTAAATAATCCCATGTCATGAAATACGATAGAAATAATATAAATATGTAAATTTTAGTACTATAATATATCGAATAGCTAAAAAAATATAAACCCACACGAGATATTACCGTAATAAATTTAAATAAAGGATCATAAAGTCAATAGATTAAACATCGTTTGAGGATTTACTAATAAAATAATATTTGAATATTAAACATGCTTTATCGAATTTGTGTTGAACAATATTATACTTTTTTTGGGTTCCGCAAACACATTTTAAAACTATTCATAGCAACAATAACTATTAAACCTTACTTTTAGAGAATCGCATAACGACATTTATACATGAGTTAGATTTAGATATTCCTAGTAAAAGTTGTTTATACCAAGTTCTATAATACATACCCTATTATAGAAAAGAAAAAAAAGATAATATATTTTCTACTTACGTCTTAATTTAATAGATATATCAACAACTCGGGACTATGGATTTGTTCTGCAATGTACCTGTAAAAAACAAAGCCGTTAGTGTTTAGTTCGCACAGGAAATACCAGACGTGGCTTTGATAGTCCGCATAGTGTTTAGAAAACGCAACCAGTGGTACAATACTAATTGTTTTAGCTGTACAAGGGAAACCTAAGCTTTTCATTGACACAATATCACAATAATAAGTCCAAATCGAAGTAGGTAATGTAAAAAAAAGATTATAGTTACACAATGAATTAATAAAATAAAAGCACACTTTTAATATGTTCTTGTTAATTAATAGAACTAAGACTAAGACTAACTCAATGAAAAAAGTCTCAAATTCTTTAAAAATATGTATAGCTTATTATGACATAAAATAATCACATGTTCTTGTGTCATCTAAGATTAAGCTACCTTACTTAACTGATGCTTAGTGAGTAATGGCCGAGGTGAATGACCGAGTCTTTTAGCGTTTAACCAAAATAATAATCGCAAACAGTTATTCAGTGTTTATTCGCGGGTTATTGATTAGTTACATTTATTAGTCGACGCAGCGCAAAAAGAGAATTCAAATGTCTCGACTATGATGAATAAGAGTGATTATTCAAACACTATCTGAAATTTAAATTAATATGATATATGTATTTCTAAACGCTTTATTTATTTTACGACTTGTTGACAGTATTCCGTATTATGAAGTTCATGAACCGTGTAACATGTAAATGTGATAGTTTATGACAATTTAACAAATACTTGTTACTTTTAAGATGTTGCAAAGATTTCTATTTCATTATAGAGCTTTTCATCACAGTTTTCTGTGAGATCCAGTAAAGACAGCTCATTTCAGTTATAATTTTTTTTTGTAAAAGGTTTTTTTTTTGTAGTAACAAAGGAGCAAGCGGCCATCAAAATTTGCCAAAATAGCGATTGACTGTTGCTCACAGATATCTTTATTTGCATATGTGCTGCAAAGTAATTAACAAAGAAGGGGACGCATAGAAAGAAGAAATTTTCCCTAATCATGCGTCCTCACCCCCGCCAAATGCGCAGTAATTTTTATTTGGTCGAATACTTCGTAGTTTAGTTTTCTAAAGCAAGCGATCTTTTCATTTTTATTAAGCATTTGCGTTTATCATTAAATTACTAATTATTTTGCAAGAATCCTATACATTTATAAGCATTAATTATTTTAATAATAATAACGAGAGTGTCTCGTAAATTGCGTACAAAAAATATTGTCCAGTTAGAAATTCCGCGAGAATAAATTTAAATTCCACAGTGGCAAATAAATTAGCGCTATTAGTATGAATAATTGGTATTGTCTGCGCACGCGTCGGTATTTTTGGGTGCGTATCGAGACACCGTAAGTTTCGTATTTGCATAACAATAATACACCTATAATAAATTTGATTCGCTTTTACTGTAAACAAACATTATAAAATTAGCCACACGACATTCACTTATTTTAATTGACGATAGATTGTACATTTTTCAATATCATGAAAGCCATATGCATTTAAAAATTTTCATTTTTTTAAAAATCAGAGTTTTTCCTGGCGTTTCGGCATAAGAAGAAGTTATTTTCGTTACACAAAATAGAACATACTATATCTATACAACTCTAAACTTTCGAAGTTATTACTAACACGTTTAGAACTTTGTTGATATGTTGAGAGCTCAATCTGGTTAATCGTGATATTAATCCCGTATCTTACGAATATTATTGATGATTGTTATTCTGTTTAGTTTCTTATTAACCTACTTCGAATAAAATACCAGTGTAATTTCGGCGAAGCTTTTTTCCATCGTTAATTTATTCGGTAACTATACGCTGTAACAAATTAAATGAAAGAACTCATTATGCTACTTCTGTCGAGTTCCGCGATCTTTTACAAAAGTAACCACTTAATTAACAGCTGCTCGTTACTGATCATTGATAAAGAATAATTGCCCCTCCATGGTGTTAATGACAGTTAAAGCTTAGCCTCGTTGTCAGATTAAAATCAATTAGAACTGACGTAGGTTTTTGCTCCGCGTGCTTGACGGAATTCTAATTTAAAACACCCTGTAATTAATTATTTTTTCCAGCAAAATTATTGAAATGATAATCAGTTTATATAACTAATTCTTACTAATATTATGAATGCGAATGTTTGGATGGATGGATGTTTATTTGGATGTATCTATAGAACGGCTGTATCTCGCTGAAATTTGACATAGATGTAAAACATAGACTGAAAAAACACATAGGCTACTAATTAAGTTTCTTAAATACTGCAAGGACGGAGTTACGGGCGACAGCTAGTCATTAAATGAATATTTAAAGAACGAATAATCCAATAGTTTAATAGTTAACTTTTTTATGTAAAGTTATCTTAAAGCTTAACTTTTTCTATCTTAGAATTGTTAATCGGAAATAATACAGTTTAAATAAGTAATAGATAAAAAAATCTAAATTGGTATCCTTGTCGTTTAAACTCCGAGTTGTTTGAAGTATTTATAGTCAGGTTATATAAGGTAGGTTTCAAGATAAGCTATAACTGAAGGTCTGAAGGCAATCTATGAGGATATAATAGAAATAAATCTCACACAATCGGAAACCGAATCCCATTAGTGGTTGCTACGAGGTACAATGGTGGGTTGATCTGCCATTAAACAGAAACCGCATAATATTTAACTGTGCTCCTCCACAAATCAACTGTAACAATGGTGGATCAATTGGAAGCAGTCTTTTATTAAAGCAGTACATTAGTGTTGTAAATGCATTCCATCATTATGAAACGCTGTTTAGAATTTACAGATGCAAGCATATTTAGGCATCATAATAGCAAAATAGAGATAAAATATAGGTAATTTACTCCTTGTTTCTATTTTTTTGCGAGCGTCGGTGTCTCAGGGGTTTAAGCACTTGACTTGTAATCTGCAGGACCTGGGTTCGAATCCCGCTATTTACCAATGTGTTTTTCGATTTTCGATATACATATGTACATTTATCCGACATTTTTACGGTGAAGGAAAACATCGTAATGCAACCTGCACATATCTGAGAAGAAATTCGAAGGTATGTGTCAAGTCCACCAACCCGCACTTGGCCAGCATGGTTGACTATGGCCTAGTCACCCGTAACACAGGATAGGCTCCGAGCCCCTCGGTGGGGACGTATAACAAGCTGATAATGTTATATTTTTTAAAGGTAAAAATTAAATACGTTGATTTAAAAATCTTGTTAAGTTAATCTTCTATTTTTTCTCACGGGTTTAAGGATATAAGGGTTGTTTTAAAGTATATTATGTATATTTAAAGTATATATTAATGTAGCTCTCTCTTATCTTTATATGTTAATTTGTATCCGATAACTGTAGTTAATAAACATAATTATAAACGTTACTCTCGTGACGAGGATGTTGAAAGCGGGTCTTTCTTCCTGCGTACGAACACTAAAAATTTACTTGTAATGATAGGTTATTAATAATCTATATATCAAATACAACATAAAAAATCGATCTGAATAAAAGTTGAATATCCACTAATCCATAATAATAATCTAGGAATGAAAAACAACTGAACAATGTTCTTAAAAAAAAATAATTTGAATTTTCTGTATTTTTACGGTCACATTTTATCTCGAAAATGACTGTTTCTGTCTTTGTAGTTAATATTGTCTGTTAAAATTATAGCTTAGTCTTATAGATTTGATTTAATTTGATCTTTATTTTATTTTCTTTACTTAGATAAAAAAATCTTCGTTTTTAAAATTAGCTGTCGCCCACGACTCCATTCGCGCGGGATTAAAATTAAAATTCCTAAAGGGTTTTCCCGCAAAATGTTCGAATTTTTATCACCTTTTAAACCTTCCCTAGACCTTTAAGAACATTTCAAGACCAAGATAAGATAAATCTGTTAAACCGTTTTTAGCGAGACTAACGAACAGCAATTGTTTTTTTTTATATATAGATATATTCGGTCTAACATAACATATCCTTTCAGATAAGTTAACGGTAGCACTTAATCTTTGTCGAAATAGGTGATTTTATTAACATTTGTATTGAGTACAGTTCTATTGTGAGTCTGAGTCGATAGTAACAGGACTGAGCACGCGACGTGGGATTTAATGCGGTTGATACTTTGACGTGACGATCTACGAACACGACAACTGAACATGCAATGAGATGTAACACTGTAATGCTGTTTATTTGACGAAATATTTCACTTTATCGTGACTTTGAGACGCTAGATGTGTCTATTTACTATTGGAAAGCAAATGCAAAATTACATTATTATCAATACTACTTCTAAAAAGGGTCTTGAAAGACAGACGAACGGGCAACAAAGTGATCCGATCCTATAAGGGTTCCGTTTTTTCCGTTCGAGGTACTGAACCCTTAAAACTGGAACTACCAATGTTAGCGGAACAATTTGTCTCATTATCAGCTCACTAGATATCCACTGAGGTACTCGGAGCAGACCCTAAGTTAGGGGTGACTAGGCCATAGTCAACCACACTGGAACACTGCGGGTTGGTTGACTTCACACATATCTTCGTAGATACGCGCAGGTTGCATCACAATGTTTTGCCTAATTAAAGATAATTAATTACCTTACTACTAAGATACAATACGTAAATGGCAATTCCATGAAATACTACCCGCCAACGATCCTGTCATTCCTAAGACTAGGAGTTGAGAGTTGGATTAATATCTATTCGACTCATAATAATACATAATTCAAACACTTGTAGGGTAATTTGATTCTAGATTATAGTTCGTTTTATTAGACAGTGCGATAGTGTCCGCAACTCATTACTTCTATCGCGATACTTATGTTAGAACTAGTTTCCATTGCTCATTGAACTGCTATTCACTCTTAAAGATTATAAATAGTTTAATGTTAGATTATAGTAGTTTAATGTTAACCAGAACTTGTATGTTACTTTTTCTTATTTTACTAATTAAATGCGATAGCTTAGATTGGTGGATAAATGTTTATTAGAAAGCCATGTTGGATGACCAGAACGGCTCAAAGCATCACGATGATGTTT